TCTCTCTCTCTTTCTCTATGTCCTCTTCCTCCACCTCTCCCTCGCTTTCCTTCTCTCCCTTCCTCACACCTTTTCTCTCACTCTCTTTCTCTCTCCCTTTCCCCCCCCATTCTCTCTCTCTCTCTCTCTCTCTCTCTCTTTTCTCTTTACCCTTTCCGCCCCCTCTTCCTCCCTCTCCTTTTCTGCCCCGCTTTCCTCGCCCTTCTCCCTCGTCACCCTGCGTGCGGCCGATCTCCCTCGGCACACAAAGAATGGCACCGCGGCAAGGAGGAAGTAGGTGCCAGGGGGGAGGGAGGAGGGAGGGGGGGAGGGGGAGAAGGAGGGAGGAAAGGGGGGACGGGAGTGGGTTAGGAGAAGGAGGGGAAGGAGGAGGGGAAGGAGGAGGGGAGGAGAGAGAGAGGGAGAAGGGGAGGGTAAGGAGAAGGAGGGAGGGGGAAGGGAAGGGAAGGGGAGGGGAAGAAGAGGGAGGGGGAAGAAGAGGGAGGGGGAAGGAAGGGGAGGAGGGGAAGGGGTGGGGAAGAAGAGGGAGGGGAAAGGGGCGGGGAAGAAGAGGGAGGGGGAAGGGGAGGGGAAGAAGAGGGAGGGAGAAGGGGCGGGGAAGAAGAAGGAGGGGGGAAGGGGCGGGGAAGAAGAGGGAGGAGTTTGGAGATTGAAGGCGATCCACTTAGCGTAATCACAGGGAAGGTGCCACGTTTGCCATCCACGTTGCCGTCTCTCTTGTGGTAATAGCGGCCCCGCCCGAGGAATATGTCGCGGGCCACGGGAGGGTGCCAGTGCCAAGGTGCGTGTCCCTTTTTGGATTACTATTTTATGTATATACATATTTTCTTACTCGGTTTATGTTTTAATTATCTTCTCTATAATTATTTTCATATATTTTTTTCTTCTCTATTATTATTTCCGTATATTTTTTTTTTATCTTTTCTTCTGTTCATTCTTATCTTTACAGTTTATTTTTCTCTCTCTCATTCACCTTTCTTTTTCGTTTTCTCTTCTTCTTCTTTTTTTTTTGCTTTCTCTCCTCTTCATATATTTTTTTCTTCTCTCCCCTTCTCTATATAGTTTATCTTCCCTCTCTCCTATTCTTCAAAATCATTCTGCTTTCTCTTTCTCCTTCTTTCCATATTGAATACTCTGCATTGTTAATGGGAGGTAGATTATAGCTGTCGGTTAATGGCTCGCTACTTAGTTGGGGGGGGGTGAGGAGAATAGCGAGGAGGGGGGGGGGGAGAGCGTGAAGAGAATAGAGGGGAGAGGGGGGGGGAGGGTTTAAGGAGTAAGGAGAATGACGAGGATAGGGGGGCGAGCGGGGGGGGGAAGAGAGTGAGGAGAATGATGAGGAGGGGGGGGGGGGAGTGAAGAGAGTGAAGGGAATGACGAGGAGAGGGAGACGGGAGAGAGTGAAGAGAATGAAGAGAATGACGAGGAGGGGGGGGGCGAGGGAGGGGAAGAGAGTGAAGAGAGTGAAGGGAATGACGAGGAGGGGGGGCGAGGGAGGGGAAGAGAGTGAAGAGAGTGAAGAGAATGACGAGGAGGGGGGGGGCGAGGGAGGGGAAGGGAGTGAAGAGAATGACGAGGAGGGGGGGGCGAGGGAGGGGAAGAGAGTGAAGAGAGTGAAGAGAATGACGAGGGGGGGGGCGAGGGGGGGAGAGGACAGTGAAGAGAATCGCGAGGATTGATGCGGGAAGGGGGGGGGGAGGTTTAAGAAAATGGCGAGGAGGGGGAGGAGGAGGGGGGGTCGAGGAATGGGTATTGGGGTATGGAGGGGAGAGGGGGGGGGGGCTTACAAGCATCTCTTTGTTTCGTAAGGCGTTATTAGGCGGACAATGATCGTGCACTTGATACATGGGCGTAGTAGCATTGGGGGGGGGGGTGGTCGATTATAGCATGTGGTTATGTGCTTTTAAAGAGATCGTGCGTTGTGTTGTTGTTGTTTTTTTTTTGGCTAATGGGAAGGCTGGGCTGGAAGAGGGATGGCCCTGTGATCTGCAGATGATGACGCCCGCGAAATCAGTTGGATTTGATTTATGTTTATTTCTGTTTGTTTATTTGTATTTGTTTGTTTATTATTATTATTATTGTTATTGTTATTGTTATTATTATTATTATTATTATTATTATTATTATTATTATTATTATTATTATTATTATTATTATTATTATTATTATTATTATTATTATCATTATTATTATTATTATTATTATTATTATTGTTATTTTATTATTATTATTATTATTATTATTATTATTATTATTATTATTATTATTATTATTATTATTATTATTATTATTATTATTATTATTCGATATATTGACGATTATCAGGTCAGAATTAAGCCAGTCCTTCTTTTTTTTATTCATTTGCTTACGAGCTCATTTCTCTCTCCTCCTCATTTCATTTAGGACTCAACGCGCTGGTTTTCATTCGCCCCTACGCTTACATATCCATTAATTTATTCATTAATTAACCCAGTTACGCAGACCACCCTTTGATAAGGTGGTCTTTTGACGTTATCAAAACCTCCAATCAGTCTAGCGAGTCTTTTTTGTGTGGCAGGAAACGTCATCGGAAAAAAAAGGTCCCTCTCCCCTTGCTTGTTGAGGAGAGGTCGTCTTCGTAGATAGCAGAAACGGCTAATTACCGATGGGGACGGAATAGAGATGGGCGGTAGCGGTAGTTGCTAAATATAGCGGGGTTGTA